TGTTGCAGCGGGTCCACGTGAGGGCAATTGTAATAAATGACAAACAAAACGAGGCAGGGGCCATGAGTAGGACATTTAAAACGATTAAGGAGACCGGGGCTTTCGCCTTATACGATATCTCAGCGATCCCGATAAGGTGTATAATTGTTGCGACCGAGTAGAAGGTTACAATCCAAGAAGGGAGTCGCCGGTTGGCCGTAGATGTTCCAATTATCACGGCGCACATTGCGGAGATCATCCCGCTAAACATCGACAACTTTGCAACGGTTGCAATCGCAGACCACGTCACTCCACTGGATTCAGAATAGTAGCTTGCGGAGGCACGATAAGAGTGTGTCGTATCATGAATGTAAGACCACTGATTATAGAACTCGGGGCGGAGCTTACCATGGCATATAACCGCTGTGGGAAAGGCACTGTTCGTCTTGAAATCGAAGGCAACTAGGAACAGACTCTTACAAAACGTTAAACATTGTTATAAAAATCGCGAGAACTAGAGGCCAAACTCTCCATCCACTAACAGGCTTATCTCTGCCATCATTGCCACTCTGCCTTGCGGCGGTGCTGTCTGGAGTGATCTTGGGTGTTGGTGGTGGTGTTTTTGCTTTGTCGCCCTGTTTAGCGGACATAGTGACTGCAGCAAACTCGTATTTAGAAGTGAATTCGGTTAGCGCTTCTTGCGCAGATGCTTGCGTTCAAACTGCAGCATATGATTTACTGAAGCTCTCGCCTACTGAGATTTGTCCATAAGCATTGCCAGATGACATGGGAAGTTAAGCTCGGGAGCATTCACAGAATAGAAGAGATATTTCGTCAGAGCCGGCAGGGGGGCTGTGTCCAGTACTGCTGATGGATCATTAAGCTGATCAAGCTTGCCTACGTGAGCAGTATTATATAGTGCAATGAGAACCAAACCGGGTCCCACAAACCATCAAACCCGATGTATAATTAGTAAATACCAAGAATGAATTTGGAAGAAGAAAAAAAACAAGGTGGTAGATAATCCTGTGGAGAAGCTTCCAGGGGGTTTTTCTTTTGGAATTGTGGGTTTCATTGGATGACATTAGAGGTTAAAAGTGCGATTTTTTGCTAAGAGAGAAACAAGGGATGAAACGTACGGAGAGTCATGCTGAAAACAATGGAGGAGAATGAATGACGAATTATGATATTGGGTGAAAATGTTTATAGTTATAGGTATGGATGTGGTGCAAAATCTGTTTGTTGCATAGTGTTGAGGATCATGGATATTCATACCTCTCACAACAGTATATAATATGACATAATATTATGATGTTTTGGAGAATAGATAATACATTCACTACCAGCCCACTATGTGTTGTCTGGAGATGTATAGTATCAATGGACCATATTTGTTGAGTCTTGGCACAACTGGGATCGGTTGCAACGGAATTCTTGTTCCATCGGAGGACCCGCCTTTGGCCACTTTGCACCGTACATGATGTGGCGGTACCCTAGGACTTTGGTTCCAAGAATCGCGTATTTGGCCATCACACGAAGGCAGGGAATTATTCCGGGGATGAAGCCAAAAGACGCTCGGAGGATATAAACTTGTGTTGCGAGTGGTAAACGATCGAGATCAGGTCGATTATATCGTTGGAATTTGGGGATACCAAGTTGTGCGTCCTTGGCAACAGCACTCATGGTAGCGGGCAGGAGAAAAAGGTCAGGGAGGATACGGGAGACCTAAGTTGGTCTGGGCAAGTGGGAGAGCTGAACAATCACCAAAGGATCACAATCTACCAATCGTCTCAATGGCTAGCGTGATTCGCACCGGGAGTGCAGCACAGAATCAAACCAGTGAACCCACGGGGCCATCTATCCATCGTTGAATACTATCTGACAGACCCAGGCTTTTCCAAAACAAAGCCGGGCCCTTCTATATCACCCGGCCATTCATCGATGATGGCGTAATTTTGTCTTAAGCGAGATCTGTACCATCACGGGCATGTTTGGCCCTATTGTTTCATTCCAGGCGATTAAAAATGGAAAACCTGAAGGCTGGCCAGCTGGACATCTGGCCGCTCTGACTGGGGCAGCGCTAAGCCGAGACCGGGTGGTAGACTCGGCGCTGCCAGCTTTTGACGGCCGCCAAGAATGTCCACCGCATAGACCCTGGCTTTTCAAACCATTGGCCAGACTACAGACCCGTAGTCCGGATGATGGCTCCGAGTAGCCGCTTGGGCTCACGGGGCAGGGCCGGACCGACAAAGGCCATTCTTTTCACGAGGGCCGGACTATGGGAAGCGGCACTTCCAAAGCGAAGCAGTACCCGTCCTAGGTCACTCACGAGTGGGTGATTCAACCGAACACTCTTGTCACAATACGGGGACATATTTTGTTATTCGGCAGGAATAATCGTTTACACTAAAAATCACGGGGTGAAAACGTATTAAAATGAAGATTTTTAGTGAGCTTTGAAGCGAGATAGTGTCTTGAGTTAGGAGGGTATATGGACGGAGTTACATTGATGTGGGTGGTCACGTTGATCGATTGTTAGACAACATAGTTTTGCTTGCAGCAAGATCCATAGAACTAAGAGCATGCAATTGCCCTATTTCCGCGTTCCTGGAGATTAAAAGGCGAAAGGAGTATTCGCTGTTCATTCCGTGGATAAACTCCAATTGCGTGAGCATCCGGTGGTGTTCGCTAAGCGTTCGCCAACAGTCCTGCAGGCATCTGCCCAGAATTGTAATCCGACAAAGGGAGATTTTGCGAACCAATTGCCGGACTGACGGTTTCGTACCACTAACGCTGATGATGGGTAAATTTGTAGACAGCAAATCAGCAGATTCTCTCAAGTTACAGTATGATATCTGAGGGACTTTTGTTTCCAACGGGCTTCGTCGAAAATGTTGAAAATCACCAGGTTTGCTTGTTGAAAGAGGTTACGGAGATGACCACTGGATTGTGGACCGAGAAACCTGGTTGGCGGTGTATTTACTGTTTTTTTTGAGGATAGTGTGAGGTGCAAGAGCGTGTTTGGTCTAGAAGTAAAGTGTAGCGGGAGTGTTTGTGAGGTTTCAGTAGCAATGAGAGTGAAATTGTTGAGTGTATTGGATTAAGGTTGGCCAGTAGCTGAGAGGTGATTGTGTAGAACTAGCGTGATTAGGAAACACGGAGGATACAGTATGTGTATTGGGACTGTTAAGGATCGCTAGCGGCATGGAAGGATGGAGAGGAGTTATGGTCGGGTACGAGCTTTCTCATATATAGGACACCTCCGGTAAATTACAAAGTATAAGGACTCCATAATTATCTCTCTCGCAGATTACCTTTTCAACAGAAAATATGTTGGGAGTCAGTCTACCACCAGATGAAGTTTTTTCTTTTTCTTTTTCCCCGCCGCACGATGTCCGGTTCACCGACACCGGCGGAAATTTTTACAAAGGCCGCCTCCTACTCGCGACCCCAGCCCAACCCCTCCACCACAGGATGTTGCCGCCGCCCAGACTGGGGACAGTCCCACGGTTGGACCAGGTTCTAATCACCCGGCAAGTGACCTTTCACATTACAGCGATATCCGTAATCTTTATTCTTCCTTCATCTTCTACTCCTGTTGTACTTTTTACCCTGGGAGGACTGGTAAGCGAAACCTATGCATCCAGTTTTAATTGGAAATTCCAGCCAACAGAAGCCTAGATATTATCCTACCGCCCAGACCTAACAGCCTCTACAGAAACCGAAACGAAGAGAAAACCGTGGCCAGATCTCTCCGTCGACTCCTTCGATTTGATAATGGTCAGTAAATAACGATTCATTTAGACATTGCAAGAGATTCGAAGTTGTTGGACAGATTCAGTGATGATCCAGGCAATGTTTTCAAATACAAGACCCGCGGCAATACTCCTGAGTCATATGTTTCTCGAGTTCTGGAGGTGCCAGTTCTGGGCGGGAGCGGGATACATCGCGGGAGGGAATCACGTGCCGGATATTCGCTTCGCACATAACATCTTCCTTGAACAATGGAGATAAGCATTTTTTGCGCATTTAATATTTTGGAGGGCCAAATGTTTTTATTGTTATTTTTGTCCTATGCAACATTTGCACCATCAGTGGCAACTAAACCCCGAGGATTTTTTATTACCCTCCAATGTTCGGTTATTAAAGCACCTCAACATCCGTCATTCTACGAGACCACAGCCCATATAACCGAGACAAGACGACCAACTACTGAAGTAGTGCTAATAGGAGAGATACCAGCGTTAAAATCTTGATTCAAATCTTATCTGTTGAGAATCAGGTGTAGGTGAAAGAAGGCATTGGCCGTATGCTGGCTCAGCCATGCCAATAATAAATTCTATAGAACCCAGGGGCTGGAAGAACTTGAGAGAGAAAAGGAAGAGTACTCTCTATCAAGATGGTGTTTACGAGAGATAACATTGAAACTCAAACCCCACTTTAGAACGGTGCCGCAACTCACAGCAAGGCCCCAACCAATTACTTCCATTTCCTGGCTAAACCGGGACTCCAGCTTCTCCACCCTCCTCGACATCCTGCGGTAGAAGCAGATTCAACCAAATCGCCACGCTAATGGATATTTGAATACATATTCATTAGTCCCTGCTTTTGCATGACCGTTGAGGGGCACTTTGGTTAGGGGTTCATGCTAACTCACAAAGCGGTTATGGCGAAGCCGGTCTTCATGATAAGGTGGATGGCATCCAAGAGCGCTTGCAATGCGCCACCCCGGTCGTATGTGAAGAAGTGGCTATACGGTGTGAACCCTCAGTCACCGACGTACCTCACAAAGGATCTAATATTGTTCCCAAGGGCATGAAGGAAGACTTACTCAAACCATGTAGGGATGAGGGTAGCTCCGTATCTGTGTTATCACATTACCTGTTAAGTCTGTATTTTCTCAGACAAAAGGGAGAGGGCATCCAGGTTTGTCTACCCCAATGCCAGAGCGGCTGTCAGAATGAATCTGCCTAAAGGGATTCCGAGAGTTAATTCCTGGGGCCAAGAATTTGAAATATCTATCACCGAGTATGAACGGATCGAGGAAAGAGCGAGAGAGGAATAAATGGGGGAAACTGAATGAAAAATCGCTTACTACGACGTGTGAATGGCATGGTTGACGCAATCCTCATTCCTGAAACAGCAACTGAACAGAACTGTGCTCAAATTAGCCAGTGGCCTTTTGTGTTCTTAGGTTATCTTGGGTAACACAGGTAGTTTACAAGGAATGTGGTCATCCCGCCAAGGACTGAAGGCGGGATTGCCACCAGCGATGCCGCAAATTTCGAGAAGATTCCCATAAGTATCAGGAAAAAGCTATAAAGGTACGGGTGATTATAATTAGCTAGTCACCTTCACGAAAAAAGAAAGAAAGAGCAAATGCAAAGTTTCACAAATTACTGACCAGCATCCATATCCAGCTCCCCTGTTTGCGCACCGAGTGAGAGCGATGACGCCCTAATTTTTTGTTAGCTGACACGTTGTGGGAAACGGGATGGTCAGGTAAAGGGGTAATCCATGCGTTATTCTGAGCGTACGTGCTCATGGGGGTCATGGTGGCTAGGCTTGCCAGAAATCCGTTGATACCATCGGCCAAGAGACCGCCCTGGATACGTGAGTCGAACATTTTACCATCAACATCGAGTTTGGAAACTGCTCAATTATAAGGATTTATCACACTCTGAAATCAAGCGATGACATCCGTACCGTCGCACGTTGCAGTGACATCTCCGATAACCTCGCACACTAGTATTACATAAACCGCTAATGTCCTGCGAGTCTATTAGCAAGACAGTAGTGGGTGTTCTGTAGAGACATACGGTAGTACAAGTGGCCCGTATATTGAGAGCTTGAACGTGTGAACCCAGATAAATGAAACAGCAGGAGCCTAAACCCAGTCAACACAGGCAACTAGTATCCACATTGCAGCTTAATCAAACTTACCAAATCAATATTCATTTTGGAAAAGTACCCGGTGGCAGCGGCAATAACGCATCCCACTAAAAGGCCAATGGCGACGCTGGTAGATTGCATAATAGGACCTGAATTTCACTTAGAATAAAATCTTCCGAGAAGGCGTTCGGTTCGTTTACTCCCAAATCTCTCGCAGATAATTATCGTAATGAAGACGGAGAATCCGAGCCCTGGTAAGCGAGCTAGTTAGAACCCCCTTTCCAAGATCAATTGCCTTTCACAAATTCTCACCGATAAACTGTGCAGACCCCCAGGGCAGTGGATGAGGAGCTCCAGTATTTGGACATAAAGAGAAAAATCCCTTTTCGGGCATCAAAGCGCACGGTCCACTCCCTCCAGCCCAATTCTTAAAGCCCGATGCAATCAATTTGACACCCACAAGCATCACAGCCGGTCCAGTTACCAGCGGAGGGAAGATCCTTCGAAGGACTCTAGGAGGCACGAATGAAAGGGCGATTTCTAAAAGCGCACAGACACATCCTGTTCCGAGAATGGCTCCTAGATTAACTCTGCGTAAGAACTTTGCGCTCGATCGCCGAACCGCATTTTTCAACACTTACCGTAACCGTCCGGACAAGGTAACCTCACACTACCTTGACCCATGGGACCTGACATCTCTCGAGTTAGGTAAAGTGACGGTTGAGGTTTGTTTTCAAAAGCGTCACGTACACTGTTTCACATGGTTCACGGTTAGGAAGGAAATAGTCATAGTTGGCATATCTGGATCTCACCTGTCCATTTGCATACATCTGATCCAAAGCACCCTCGGCCACGGGTATAATCGCAAACGTGGTTCCAACTCTGTTGTGTTCAGAATCGTCCATTTCTGCCTTTCCTCAGTAGACATCACATTACTCACACAGATAGAAGGCCAGTCCCGATGTAATAACTACCAGCGCACGTCGTGTCAATTATCAAAGCCTTTGCAAAGAATAGCACCACCTAGTTTCACTCCCCAGGGCAATTGGCTCCGGGGACGTACGGGGTTCCCCAGATGTGGAATCTAGTAATCTGAATAGCTGACAATATACCGCAAACAATCAATGAGGTCGAAACGAGGTACTGTTGGACAGCAACTGGAAGGTTTGCACCCCCAGCGCCTCCTAAGATCATTGGTGGGGTAACTATTCCGGCCACCATTGATAGAGCACTATTCACAGACAAGTGTCATGTTAGAAAAGATCTCAACGGGGAGGTAGGATTGTATATCATGTAATGAGCATGGGGACAAGAATAGGATAGGTGGGAATGTTGAAACGTAACTGCTGAAACCCTAATAGCACCGCAAGCAATACTGGCAACTGGTCATCTAGTCCGAAAAATGGGGCAGGTCTGCGTGGCTCCCTCATAAACGGCAACCTAGGCTACATTTTTGGATTCAGTCATAATAAGTATTGGGTCTTACTTTCCATTATTTTTCTACCATGTAGGAATTTTGTAGGGGCAAAGCTGAGGAGTGGCTGCATATCGGTTGGTGGGTAGGGAAGCTCCTAATTCACATACCCTGAACAAAAAGACATAATCGTAGTTCCCAATAAGCCGCTCCCTGTCAGAATACAGCATAGAAGGCGGTTATTAGAAATGATATGAGGCGACATTAATATGGCACGAGCTAATACCAGATACATAGTGCGGGGTTGAAATCGAGAAGGAGATGCACGTACTTTTTCAATAACATCTTCTTTGCGCTTCGTACACGTTCTCTGAACGTCGTCTTCCGTGCCGTCGAGGGACCAACTTGATCGAGTTCTGCCATTGATTTATCTGCGGTTGACTTAGAATAAGGTGTCAACACAAATAAAAGGGAAGTGCCGACAATAGGAGATCGGTAGGTTGGTTGTTGTGGAAACAGAAGCAAGACTCACAGCGATATTAGTAGTCCTGATCGACTATGAAATTATGATGAAAGGAACAACAGAAGGGGTAGGGTATTTCTGTCTTCTAATTTTGTTGTGATTGCACGTGCCGTGAAAAAGGAATATTGACGACAGGGTTTCATGGGCCAGGGTCCAACCCTAGCACAATCAGTTGGCATGGATTTCAGACTTGAGTTACAATTATTAAGCAGACCTTGTAATAACCGTTGTCCAATATTACCATTGTAATATTTTTTAATTCTTTGGTAATAGGAGGAAGGAAACATGACAAGTAAAGTAAAGATAACCTCCAAGTTGATTATCTAAAAAAAACAGAACTAGGTTTAAGGATTTCTGGAACAGAGGCCTACCAGAATGTTTAATGTATTTTCTATTTAATAATGATTACTGTAATGAAAACATAGGGAGATGCGGAAAATACCTAGGCTGTTTGTTGAAACTACGAAGGGCTTGCTCTGGTTATCTGATTAGACTGACATAGTATTGATTGTGATAGTACAATTATTAAGTATATAAGAGCAACACCAATTAGCATTCCCTCCTGTTAACATTTGCTTCTTCAAGATAAACATCTTGCCTTAAAATCTGCAGAAAGTATGATTCTTCCAGTAATGCCCAGTTCACAGAGTAATAGATGCTCTACAGTAAATATTCTCCTACTTATATTACTTGTATGCTGACTGAATTGTTATGAATAATTGGTACTAGCAGCTAGATTTATTCTAAATAATCAACCACAAGCTTCATAATAGGTGGAGTAGAGGATATAGCTTTAAACAAGTACGGCTAAACAAATTCTTACCTAAGTTACCAAATTTCGTAAAAGTATACATACATTTATATCTATTATTATATATCACTTGAAGTTGGCAATCAGGACCTATTCGGCATGTTTCAATGGTCAGCAGGCTTTTGCAACATCTGCTAAGTAGTCAAGACTGTTTGAGACTAATATAAACAGTACCAGTAAAACTGATAGCCCAGATTCACACCCTAAGAGTAAAGGTAATATCATACTATGCAGGTAAAATACTAATATCATGAAATCCTAATTTAAAAGGTTATAGTATTAATTATCAGATAGATAAATACTGATATGCAAGAAAGTAGTCCAACAATGAAATATATTGTACGGAAAATATTAAATATTCCTAATTTTTCAGTTTGTGACACTTTAGATTTAGCTAACCTATTGCAAGTTACACAGGTTGCTAACTTCATTAATAATACCCAATTGTGTGAAAAGAAGTCACCCTGGTCGGAGAGGAGTGAAAGTCGTTTCCGGGCCTGGAGTGGGCTGATGAGAATTTTGACGGAAGTGTTTCTCGGCTGCTCACCGCACATTTCCCCTATGGTAACGACTTCTCAACCCTAACCCTCTTGGCATATCAACTACTCCGACGCCTCTATGTTTGACTACCGGTTAGTCCCACACATCAAACACCATATGCGACAACATCTGTGACGATACCTGCGACGACTCCATGTTAGGGCGTTACCCCTATCATATGGGAATACCGAATGTCCTCGGCCAGAGTATACCCTCGGTCGAATTCACTTATCCTCTGCCGAAGCGGCACAATGGGCAATAGTGAGACTGAATGTGATAGAGAACACGGCATACGCTAGAGGTATGTGGAAGCAGATCAGTATGATCTCGGGAAGGATAAAAAGCAGCTTGTTTTCCCTTGTTAGTTGTTTTCGTTCGTTATCCAATCCAATCTGTCTCTCTGTCCTCCGTCACCTGCATTTGGGTCATATCAGTCTTTCCCGTTTTTTGTTCCCTATCGTTTTTCTTCGTGAGAATTTTTCTCCGGTTAGGATATTTAAAATTCATCTTTATATCTTTGCCCTGCCTAAGTCAACATTGTCCAAATCGCTGCCGTAAACCTTGTTGTTTAAAAATGAGGGATTCGGAGAGAAACAATCTAAGTCACCGGAGACAGATGATAGAATTCAGGAAAATAATTCCAGTTAACAATTCAGGGAGTGAAGAGAAGAAGACAATATTACGAAGTAAAGTGGACAAGGAATTTAATCAAATTGTTAGTACGACGCAGAGGTCTGAAGAACGGTTAAACGAGCAGGATAATAGGTTGGAGGAAAGCGCAGACGCAAAGTACTGCAGGTGGAGAAATATCGACAATGAATATGACAGGAGAAATGGTTATGATGGCTAATATCCATGCAAGTTTGTCAGGTTTTTATATAGTAATCGCTACATGGTATTTTTGATTCCAATTTTTTATCCGTGGTGGGAGCTATCCTCCAAATACCTGCAATACTAGTATCCCCTCGATCTACGCTCGAGCGCGTTGTGAACGTTGAATGTCCGAGGGAGAAGATCTGGATAGTCAGAAATTGCCAGAACTTGGATATTTTCAACTTTAGAGAGTATAGAAAAGGGGGTTGTGAGAAAGAGAGTCTGAAGGAAGTGAGTATATTCCATAGGAAACAGTAGGTGTGGAGCATTTTTTCTTAGTCCCCTCTGAGAATGCGCTCACGAATACACCCAACTGCGCATCTCATCATAAATCACGTGCATGCTCAGAAATTTCCCCCTATGTCTCTACCTTCATTCCTATCAGGTCTTACATTCCTACGAGATGAGATATCACTCCTTGGCATAACTGCTTGGTACATATATATATAATGCTAACAAGAAAGAATGAAGTGAGATTTGACCAAATAGGTCTGAAAGATTTCGCATTTTGGCTTGGCATCTTGGCAGGTTTGATGCAACATGTAGTTGTGATGGTAAATACCACTGGGGTATATCAGAGCACAGCCTACCTGATATCAGATCGGAAACATTGATGGGATGAGATATCACTCCCGGGGGGGGCAACTGCTCCGTACTTATTTGATATTGAGTTTGAAATATCTGAGATGTCCATCAATTATTTAGAGTTCAGTCTGGTATTTGCATATTAGTAATAGAGATTTTGGTTTCAGTTAACTCTGTTACATGTGTTTCAAATTCTTTACTGAGAACTAATGCAATTACTAATACTGCTTAAGCTTTTTTTATTCTTCTTTTCCAGTTTCCTACCTCTTGTATCGTAACATCCAATTAACTCACGACACAACCTATGGAACATAGGTCTTCAACTCTGGTATGCTAATACAAATACTAATTTCTGTAACCATCGAAATACTTCACCTACAACTGACTACTACATCCTGCACATACTTATTTATACATCAATCCAACTTCAGATACTGGTTAACACTTTCATTTACCTGTTATACCAGTGTATTTCCTCACCACTACTAAACTGTCTTATAACCTTTACAATATCCTCAATTATCCTGTGGAAAGGTTGTCAACATTCAAGTTAGGTATTGTGAATTTCAACAATGTTTAACAAATACTAGTTCAGAAGAAAAAAGTTTCTTTTTTATCAAAAGAGATAAAGGTATACAATCATCTAATTCAAATATCTAGGATGATTAATGTCAGAGAAGGTGAAGATCTAGTTTTCTAGTTGCATTCCACTCTAAATTTAGATACAGGTGTTACTTTACCGTATGCTATATAGATAGAAAACCTAGACTTTGGCACAGACCCTATTCACCAGATAAAAAACTCTCCAGCACATCAGAGTTAGTTCAAACAAGTAGAAACACAGATCCAAGTAACTACTCAGTTGAAATCATAAACACTGAACTATACCTATACCATTAAAACAGTTGAAATCCTGCAAACCAGCTGATGAGATATCTCGAAATTCGTACTGAAAGAAAGCAACAGATAAGGTTAACCATATAAACATCAGGACCTGAGTTTCAAACTATAGGTTTCCGTTGGCTGGCACACATTATCTCAACCTCCATCAACAGCTGGTTATGAGCGCTTGCTAGGAAACAACTCATGTAAGATAGCCCCGGAAATAGGATTTATAGAAGGCGAAAACTAAGAAGACAACATTTCTGAAATAGAAGAGGTAGGATAGTCAATTGAATAAACAAATGAGTGGCCGAACTAAAGAACGACCAAAAGGTCAAGCAAATCAACCGCTAGACAGCCCAACAAAAGGATTAGCGGATATCCCAACTAGAGAAAACCCTATAAGGACGGACGGGAGAGGGAATAAACGTACAGGCGACATTTCCGGCGGGCGGTCGAGCAATCCAGCAAACAAAACAACGGACTAAGGGTCGAGGAGGGCAAAGTGCAAAGCATATGAACCTTCCGAGCATGTTTGAAATATGTTACATAAGTTTAAACATGTCTGACAGGTTCTGAGCATCTTCGGTGTTGTTGTCGTCATGGCGAGCAGCTATTTTCGACATAATATTATATGCTATTATAGGAATGCGTGAGCAGGGAAAATTTCACATCACTATGCTTTTCTCTTCCTCTCGGATTGCCCCCTTTACTGACTTCATTCCTGTACATAAACCTTCTTGCTCCCTGCTGAACCTTAATCCATCTCTCAATTAATAGTAATCCTTGTCTCCCCTCAATA